TGGTGGAGAACTCTCATGGTAGAATAGTATGCATGCATGAACGAATATACATAAAAATAAATAAAAAAACCTGTTTTTTCTACGTTTTTTTCTTTGTTATTACATCATCTTGTATCTATAATATTTATCTCCCTCGTAATTAACAGTGCTGATATCCTTTTCCATATTTAATAGTTCAGGAAATGGATATAAAATGTTATTCTTTAATTAATTATTCTCAATTGCAACACAGTAATCGTTACAATAATCTCAAATATAGATTAATTGTTTTGTGATATTTATGATGGTAGCTGCAGTATTTTTCCTTAGTTCCTGCATAAAGAGAAAATCCAAATCGACGGCTTGAAGGCTTTTTATGACGAGAGTCCAGACTGTGATTTACATATGTATTTATGTGTGAATTTGGATTCACTGAAATATTAAAGAATGAAATTTCTGGGAACACCACGCAATCAATCTTACAATGTAGTATGCTCGTGTTATTTACTGGTAACATATATCATCACATATTCATGTTGACCGGATTAACAAGTTTGGCGGTTGGATTGACTAATAAATTGTCAATATTTTAAACTAAAGATAATTTTTTCTCGATTCACACGTATATAACAAGAAGAACTTATTATTCTTTGTTTTTCTTCTTAATTAATTAATCTTTATAAGGAAATTATTCTTTACATTATAACCACTTCTTCAACTACATCGTTGAGAAAAGTCTAGCATGAGCTGCATATAGCTGGATTACGAACGTGTACTCAGATTTATTTTAAATAAAAGATTAACGCTCATTTACAAAATTACTATAAAATGTTCTGTTCCTTATTTATTTTTCCATAATCAATACCATCTTCAGACCATAAATATTAATTTTCGATTTATGTTTACCGGCTGAGGAGACGTACTTAATATGCAATCCATTTTATATTTTTTCTTGCATGACTACAGCGTTGAAGAGTAGCACAAGTAAATTTCACAGGTAGGAAAAGTCTTCCATCACCTAAAATTTAGAAAATCAAATTTAGAAGTGCATGTTTCGAAAAATTTTGTTAGAAAAATATACGCACATGATTTATTTCCAATTATTTTTTATCCCATCTTAATTTTTAAAATAAATTTTATTTGAAATAAATAAATTTGATGTAAATATATATTGGTTTTTATATAATTTAGACATTTGAAATATTATATTGGAAAATAGAACAAAATTAAGATAGATTTGAAGCTGGTGGGCCTTGGAAAAGTAGGTTAGTGGCGTTAGGTTTGGTATCCTAAAGAAATCTAGCACGGAAAAGGAAAAGTCGTTGGGGAAATTTCTTCCGTACCAAATTATAAATGCATTTAAATACACGTATATTTTTATTTTTGAAAAAGTAAAATTCATTAATTCATACAAACAGGTCAAATCCTATATGAAAATAAGTTAAAAATATATTTACGATTAAATTAAATTTTTATCTTGTACCCAAAAGATTGTGATCATATCTATGATAAGAAGAGAATCCACTCCTTATTATTCTTTTAATAAAATATAAGTCTAGAATATCTGGGTATTAAATTAATAATATTATTTTATAAATTATGGTGAGTGCGATATATTAAATAAACTAATTATATGTTTAAATATATTTAAACTATTTTAATATTGTTTTGTAAAACCTGATTTCATGAGCTTGCCTCGATATCCATTTCACAAATTTTGTAGGGAAAAGATGTTAACAAGGAAGATAAAGTTACAAAAATCAGCATCTAATCAATATAATGGGTCCCAAAACTGATATAATTAAGTGTCGTGAATCTAAATTATTAGACTCTTTACTACCTATAAAAAATATAATAAATATTTGATAGGTTTAGAGGTTAGTATGTTCAACAAAACTCCACAAATAGTCACCATTAGATTTTTGTCAATGCTTTTGAATGAATATGATTTACTTGGAAATGTTTTTTTTTTTTCAATGGCACCTTTGAATTTTTCAAGTCTAATTTCACTCAATAAATCCAATTCATTCATTGAAATTAATTCCTTCAAACAAAAAATCTTTATTATAGGTTAAATTTTACTGAATACATTTCTAAATATATATATATTTTTATTTTAAAATATAAAATAACTTTAGATGAATAAAGATATTATTGTATTAGGTCAGGGGTATGAAGACAGATCTAAGGAGTACATATTTGTGGGGCTAAAAGTATTGAAGGATGTAGGTTAATTTTTTCAAACTCAAATGAAAGAAAGACCCCTTCATTAATGTGAAAGGTTATATTTTCTAACTTCCAAAGTAAATTCACTCACTCATTCAATCTTTTTCTTCCACTGTCACCTATGGATTCAATGTCTATGCAGGTTCTTTTTTCACTTCTTTGGTAATGTTTAAAATTATGTGTACATTATTTTCATTTTATTTCATTAAAAATTATTACTCATAAATCTATTTAATATAATTAATAAAAGTAATTTTAAAGAGAAATAATATTAAATATTTTTATTTCAAGTTATTTTATCACTAGTTATTAATATCTACAATAAAATTACGATTATTATTAAACATATATATATATATATATATATATATATAAAGATTCATTGGTTGTTAATTATTTTTTACTACTCTTTTTTATTCATTTTTTTATTACATTAATTTTTTATTCATAAAAAGTAATATTTTTAATAGTAATTAAATTTATTCACAAAAATATATATTAAATTCAACTACAAAACAGAGGTAATAATAATAGGAGTTGAATTTACAATGGGGTGTTTCACCCTGTATTTATAAGCTTTTCAACCTACATCTCCAATTTTCTAAAATACTCCCTAATTAATGAGTGGTTATTTGTTAACTGTACATTTATTCACAAATTTTATTCTAAGACTACACTTCCATAAATTAATCAATTATTTTATTTATTTATAATTATTTTTAAATTTATGTATCAATTTGTATGAAATTATAATTTAATTAGAAAAAAATTAATTGTTAAAAATTATTTTTTGTGAATTTATTAGATTTAATAAAAATATTTTAAAAAAATAAAATTATGAAAATGTGTATCGAATATGAAAATCCGAGGGGAAAATTAGAAGAGTAATAGGATATTAATATCTTATAGATAAAGGATGTAGATCCGATCGGTTTATGCTGCATTACTTTTTTTTTACGTTGCTTTATTAATGTTAGCAAACCTGCTTTGATATTTAGTATGAGCCTTCAAACTATCCGAGGAAGTACCCCTCTCTAATTCCTAACTGCACCCCTAGGAGACTAGGATCAGGCCCGTTCTGCATAGCCCATCTTTAATTTAGTCTTTTTCATTCACCCAAAACCTACTCATTCAATAAACCATATAAACAGACACATCTTATGATATCAAATTAAACAGAAAATACTACTAATATGTATTCATCAATTCTACTAAGGAATTTTTCTAAAGAAATTTATTTTTAATTTAGAATGTTTTAAATAGCATTTTGAGGTGCTTTCCAAGGCTAAAACTAGCCTAAACTTGTTTAAAAGAAAATTACTTTGCCTGGATACGAGTTAAAAAATAATTAAATAACCGAAATAGATTCTTAAAAGCAACGGATACATGATGTCAAAATTTCATCTTCCACCAATCTTTATACTTAATCTGTTTCACAATAAAAAAATATTTATTTTATAGATCATATCACCAAGTATTTGTAGTCTTTATTAACTTCTTATGTATTTAAAGTTTTTAATTTATAAAATAAATTAATGCAATTTATTTAATTATATATAACATAAAACGTAATCAAGTATCTTGTACCCGAATAATTTGTTTTTAAAGCTTATATCTACTTTAAAGACATAGAGTTTTTACATAAAATTAATAAGATTAATAGTATTTAAATTAGATGATAAACTAATTGATAAATATGAAAGAACATAAATAAATGTTAAAATTGAATAATAGTAAAAATTTGCTTTCTAAATCAACGTATGTTATTATATAATTATAATTCCATGCTCTTGAATAATTATTTTTTAAAACAAAATTAGTACTGTGTTTATTTTTTTTAGAAAAAATATGTTTTCAGAAAAAATTATATAATTATAATTCTATGATCTTTTGAATAATTTTTTTTTAAAATTTAGTACTTGAGTTTTTTTTTTTTGAATAAAAATTTTATTTGAATGAATTTATCTGATATGCATCAAATAATTTTTCCATAAATTTTAATTTATTAATTTTTTAATTTAAACTGCTTTTTTGTATAAGTTATTTAACAACTTTTATTATATATAATTTATAACGTAATTAATACTATTTATTTTAATTATCATAATATATTTTTTTAATTTAACTTATATAAAAAATTAAGAAATAATGCAATAAAAAATAAAAAATAATACAATAATTAGTTTTAGTATAAAATTAAATACAAATAAATTAAGAATAAGAAAAAATATTAAAGTAAAGAGAAAATAATTAAAAATTTAATAAATTGAAAGGAAAATAAAATATTTTTTTATATAAATCAAAATTAAACTCCTCAAAGAACGTGAGATGAAAAATAACAACACTGTGACTTAAACATGCATTTAATTTATAAGATAAAAATAAAATCATATATCTTTTATAGGAAAAAAAAATGCTGCAGAATTTGGGCGGTGGCATGTGAAAGAGCTGAGTCAGATCATTGTCACGTTACATTGTGAAAATGGATAAGATTTGCTAATTTTAACGATTCTGCTCGTATTGAAATCCAACAACCGGGTTTCTAGTCAACCCGTTCCAACAAATCAATGTCATAATTTCTTTTTCCTTTTTCACAAATATCATTATTAAGTATACTTTTATCAGTCACTTTAACTATTATAAAGAACTTTTAACAACATTAAATTGTTTCATAAATCTTATCTGTCTTACATTATCATCTTTATCTACTTTTTTGTTAGGATAGAATTACCACGTTGACACGCGCTTCCTCTCTTCCTGTACCATCTGTATATATTAAACATGAATGACTCCTTCTTCCTATCACCATCACTCTGTTTTTCAAAGGCATTCTTCATTCATTTGCAGCTGTTCCGATTCCTATTTAGAAAACATGTTGGGAATTTTCAAGGAGAAGTTGGTCAATGCACCGAAGGAGCTGAAGAGTCCAGCTTCTACGAGTCGGTGCAGTAAGCCTAAGCTAAGCAATGAAATCCTGAATGATTTCATGTCCTCCAATTCCTCCAATGCTTTCTCCATGTGCTTTGGAAACGATGCTTTGTTAGCCTATTCCTCTCCAAACAACAACTCAACTCATCAGAGGTTCTTCAGTGGTTTGGATGACATATACTGCGTTTTCATGGGTGAGTTGCACAACCTTAGTAGGCTGAACAAGCAATATGGACTATCGAAGGGAACAAACGAGGCCATGTTCATCATTCAAGCATATCGAACACTTCGAGACAGAGGTCCATACCCTGCTGATCAAGTCCTCAGTCAACTCGAAGGCAGTTTTGGATTTCTCATCTATGACCACAAGAATGGAACTGTTTTTGTTGCATCTGTAAGTCTCTTTCTCTCGTCTATTCATAGTTTTCCAACATCACATCACTTTTTTGGACTTACCCACATCTTCCATGTGTTTGAAATAGGGTTCCAATGGCCAGATTGGGCTCTACTGGGGTGTTGCAGCCGATGGTTCGATAGTGATTTCTGAAAATGTGGACCTTATAAAAGCAGGCTGTGCTAAATCATTCGCACCATTTCCAACTGGTATGTAAATGTGATTTATCTTTATGTAACGAAGGATTCTGTAATGTCAGCAGCATCGATTGATTCTAAGTAATAGAAATTGGGGTTGGAATTGCAGGGTGTATGTTTCACAGTGAACATGGTCTGATGAACTTTGAACATCCGACGAGGAAGATGAAAGCAATGCCAAGAATTGACAGCGAGGGGGTTATGTGTGGGGCAAACTTCGATGTTGACTCTCAATCAAAGATCCAAATGATGCCGCGTGTTGGAAGTGAAGCTAACTGGGCTACTTGGGGATAGTTGAAGTAACATATCTACTTTTCTTGTTTGGTTCCATTGTTCTGTACATATTCATGCTTCAATGTTGAACGTGACTTTCGTAATTTCTAATATGAATGACAAGAAGTTTTAGCTTTTCACTTTTAAATTCTTGGTTTGCTTATTATGTAATTGAATCTTTCATCGCAAAATGAAGCAAGAGAGAAGATAATTAATGACTCATGATGTGTGTATATTTTATTCCATTGTGAAAACCACTTTTACTCATGACAAGAATAACAATGAAAAATATTAAACAACATTATTTGATGTTTATTATTTTTCCAGGTTGACAACCAGATGAGGTGAATAATCTACCATGTGTATGAATAAACCACAATATGGACTATGCTACAATGATTAGATGAAAAATCGTCCTAGCTTAATCATATAACCGTCATTCTCATTGAAAATAAAATAAAATCACGCGTTCAATATTATTCTCTACTATCATTGCCGTTGAAAACATGCTCATCGTATCAAAACCAGAAATCATTTTTGTTTTTAAATTGTGTAATATAATTTTGCCTACAAGAAATCATTTTTTCTTAACGAAAAAAATGAAAAGCTCTCAATTTTATTGAAGTTTGGTTTTTCAAATCTTGTCCATGTATAAGGCATGCAATTATGCAGATGTATAAAAAAAAGTGATCCACAAATCTTATATCAACCACCCAACTTTGTTTTGGTAAGTCAAAAGGAGACAAATTTGCATGGTCACTCTTAATTCATTCAATAGTTAACAATTTTTTTTTTTGGAAATCACAGGTTAGGATATATCTATCATTATCGATTTCACTTTTACATAGTAAAATCTAAAATAATTAATTTTATTAATTAAAATAATATAAAATCATATAACAAACTTTTTAAAAGTAAAAATACATTTTTTTTTGTTTTTCATACCTACAATAGTTTTTTAAATACAGAACGAATACATTAGAATTTTTAAGTCTCAAAATATCTTTACATGAAAGTTTGAAATATGAAAGCTTAAAATATTTAATTATTATTTTTTTTAAATTTTTATATATTTAACACTTTATTAGTTGATATACTAAATTGTTTTTTTTTTTTATTTTCATATGTTGTTTTATATGTTAACTTAAGCTTTTTTTATGTTTATTTTTTTGTACCAAATAAATTATATTGTATAATAATTACCGACATTTTTATCTTATAAATAAAATAAAAGTATATTAATAATTATTGAAGTCAAAATTCATTTAATTTCACATTTAATTATAATTTTTTTAAAATACTATTTTTATTAATTATTATTAAAAATATCCTTATAAAACTCTGGACCCATTCTTTTCCCTTTCTTTTCATGAAAATGTTAATTCGAAAGTAAGATGTAAATGGAAGATTAATTAATATTCTTTTGAAAACAAGAGATAAGGAACTATTTGCTTTAAAGCCTACACTTGTGAAGAATAAAAGAATTGTGTTGCAGTGGTATTTGAAGATGACTCCATTCCATGGATAGGTTGTACTATTTACTTGTAGTGAATTTTTCACATAAATAATATATAATTTCATTTTTTATTTTTGGAAAAATCGAATTTTGAATTACCATTTACAGCATGCTATTTGTGCATTATTATTTGTTTCCATCGAAATAGTTAATCTAAAACTTTTTTTATTCTTTTCAAACTCAAATCAATTTTATATCTACACATGATCTATTGACACTACATATAATTACACAGTATTTAACATTTTAGTCACTATAATTTACCAACAAAAAGGTAAAGAAATAGAAAACCGTGTAATAACTATGGTATGATAGGAGTGGCCTCTTAGATAAGAAAAATACATTTCTGAGAAATAGCAGATTGTTAACCTTTAAACCACAAATGATCTGAATTTGATAATTACATTTCAAAAACCATAAGGATATATTTTCTCTGCAAAATTTCAAATGTTAAAGGATAATGATCCATGGCGGTGTAATCATAGAAGAAACGACAAGCAAAAACAAACCTTGAAAATGCAGTGGGCCAAGATGCCATACACTGTTGTATTAAACAGAAACAAATACGAGAAGAGCATGTGAAGTATAAGCCCACACATAAACATCCTTGAGGTATATAACAGTAACAGAATATCATAATATCAATAAACAGCTCTGCAACCAGAATTCCTTATGGCCCAGGAGCAAACAATGATTCTCAACAAGTGGCGCTGATGAATCTTCGCCAATCAAATCCATATGTTACATCATTCCAACACATGCACATTTACATATCCGCAAGAATCTTCCATCACATTCTGTCAGTTCAGTGTGCTGGAACAGACCCCATGACAAAGAACTCAGAAACCATTCAAAAAAATACAAAATTTTCTGTGTTTGTGAATAATGTTAAGTGTAACATTTTATTACAGGAAATTATAAGAGAGATCAACAGGCAAACTCATTTGGTTACAGTTAATTGAACGCCTTTGCTTGAATCCGAAGCTGAAACTAAAATAAGACAGCTCCAAAACTTCTCCTTATAAGACTCGTAAGAGCAGAAAGAAAAGTGGATATTATGATTCATTTGAAAACACGAACACTTTCTACTCCTTATGAAACGCAAACACCACAGATAACTAATCTATGAACATGGGTTACTATTGTTTTTTTTTATACTTCCTCTTGTCAGGGTTTGATGTCGGAATCATCCCAAGGATTATTTGGATCGGTTGAGACCAACGAATCGATGTCCTCCCAACTCCAATAGTTTGACATTTCCAAACCAGAACTTGTCGCTGCGATCTCCCATGGTTGTGTCCTGGTGCCAGCACCAGTGCAGGCCATTGTACTGTTCACGGTTGGCTCTTCCAGTATTTTAAACTCGTCACCGTAGTTATACACACTGGAGGATTGCAGAGAGTTGGATACTGCACACGTGTTTGTGTCAAAGGAGTTTGAGGTTGTGAAAGGGAAGAGAAGGCTTTGGTTTTGAGGAAAAGGCACGGTTGAACTCAGAAAGATTCCATTGCCAATACCAAAGTCCTTGCCTTCGGAAACTTTGGTATTAGGATTCTGTTGTGGCAGGCACAGAGATTGGTAGAGAGAGGAAGGTGTGGTTTTGTGATGATCATCCACTGCAAGAGGAGGAATTGTAACGTGGGTTCTCAACTCACCATCCATGCTTCCATTTGAGGTGGTGGTTGTAGCTGTGGTCGATTTCTTGGCTCGCTTATTCTTTCTACCACCGCCAACAGGAACGTTGCGCAGAGTTCCACCTTTAGTCCAGTGCCTCTTGCAAGCTCTGCAGAAATGGCGGGGTTGAGACTTGTTGTAGTTGTTGTAGTAACAGAATTTGGTGTTAATGGAGTCACATCTTGGACACTTCAAAGGCTCTGATGGCTGAGTCTGTTGCTGCTGTTTCCTCATAGGAGTAGGCTTTGGGAGCTCCAAGTTTTGAGCCTGCAACAAAGTCTGGTCCCAATCAAGCCCTCTATTAGAAACCTGCTTAGAACTCAACCCCATATCTTAAAGTCACCCCCCAGAAAGCACTATTAACCAGAAGAAAAAAAAGACTTATTGTTCTGTACAACTAAATGAGAAAGGCGGCGATTTGGGGAATTTTATCCCTTTGATCGAGATGGGAAAAGAGAAATGAATCTGAAGGATAAGAAGGCGATGAGATTGCTGCTTATAGCCCAAACCCAGTGAAGGTGTGAGGAAATTGGTGAGTGGGAGAGGTTTGATAGAAGGAAAGGCCTAGGAAACTGAGAAGAAGTGAGCATGTCTTTCTCCAATCTGTCTATGTCTAATAGCTATTTAAGATCTTATCTATCTGTAAAGGATCAATAATTATAGGAAGAAGACCAGAAAAAAATTACTTGAAGTGGTGTGTGGTAGTAACGGAGGAAAATGAAACCTCATAAAACTTATGCAGACAATAGTAACAAGTTTAGTTTTGGTTCTCTGGATAGAAGTATTATAAAAGGAGAATGGAGAGATGCTTAACCCCTAAGGTGAAGGTGGGTGGGTGGCACGTGGAGGGTTATAGGCCATTGATAGTGGTTTGTGTTTTGGGTGTAAAAGGAACGTAGATATGCATGATGCTGTGCTATAATAATTTAAGTGGGAAAGTTTGCCACCAATACAAACACAAAGTTGGCAAAAAAGAAGGGAAGTACACTACGGTGTGTTTCTCTTAAGTGATTGACATTGGAGGAAAGGGAAGTGAGGTAATAGTGGGACCTAAGATTCTTAGGAAGGTTAAAAACAGTTGGCAACACATGGTTTCTTGTGGGACATAAGTGAAAGAATGCATCTAGTAGTGGTGCTGTTCTACGGACCTATGTCATGTTACATGTTCTAAGTTGGGTATATCTCTATCTTGCATGCACGTGTTCCTTTGCCCTATCCGTCTTCTTCATTCAACCATTATATGTTAGCTTCCTGCGATTTCATTTCTTCCTTACAACAAAGCCATTTCCATTTCCTATCATGCTTCATCTTCTTTTCACTAAGTCTACTTCTTGTTCTAGTATTAGTTAGAAATCTCACATCGACTAAAAATAAAGTCAATCTAAGACGTGATGCAAACTTCACCTTACGCCAGTTTAATGGTAAAATATTGTAAAAACATTTGAATAATTAGAGAGTTTTAAAATGACTTGTGGAAAGTGTCGTATGTGAATGTCTTGACAGGAGTTCATATATATAATGGACTCATACCAGCCGACACTTGTGAGCAAAGAATAACACAAGTGTCTCGCACAGCCTCAATAATGTGAGTTTCAAGCCAACTTACGTTATTATCACATTGAAAAAAAACATCTAAGAAAAGTTCCGGATAAAACATGGCTGTGCTTTTTCCTTGTTTGCCCTGAGACATAACCTTTTCTTCCAAAATCTCCTCAGAGCAGATACAAGTTATAGGAATCGTTGAATAAACTAATTGAGAACAGTACTTTGCACGTTATTTTCATCATTTTGCAAGTAGTTTTCCAGTTTTGGAATAATATATTTCACGCATGAATGAAATGCGTAGTCACAGTAATAATTTAGTGGTGATGGCTGTCACAACATTAGTTATCATTATTATTAATGGGAATAAGAAAGCAAAGCCACATGCATGTATAATTAAGCCACGAGTGGTAGAAAGATCTAACAAATAAATGTGCTTGATTCCATTTACAATTTAAAAAGAGAGGGTTTTGTAATAAACTAGTGTC